TTGAGACAAGGTCTCACTCACTTGTTTAAACCGACTCTGACCTTGCTCTATAGACCAGGCAGGTCTTGAACTGTGATCCTCCTGCCTCAGGTTTCTGAATAGCGGGATTATAGGCCCGCGCCTCCGAACCCAGCTGTTCCTGTGCTGTTGTTAATTCCCGTCCACCCGAGTCAGCTGTGCTCTCGCTGTAACCCCACCACAGGCGCTTGCAACGGGATTCTCAGTTTAAGTTAAAAAAAAAAAAAAGGCACGCTATCAGGTCAGCGGGGCTCTGCAGACCTGAGAAGCCAGCCTGGCCCACACTGCAAATCTCTAGAAACTCATTTTCTTTAGCAAAAAATCTGGAGAGCCCACCCCTTCCCTCTACCCCACCCCGTTCTCTGTGAGTACCTGTTGGTATGAAGGACAGCCACGGCATCTGCCAGCACCCCAGCTGTAAAGTCTTCTCTCTGGGCTCTCCTGAGAGGCTACACGGCACCCTAGAAAGCCACTCCACCTCCAGCTCAGAGCCGCTGAAATAGCAGCAGCAAGTCCACAAAGCTCCCTAAATCGGGTGGAAGCTATTAAAGAACCAGGCTGGGGAAGAGCCCAAGGCCACTGTTGAGAGGTGGGGAGCCCAAGAGGTTGTGGCTAGCTCCTGACTCCAGAATCTCAACCCAGGTCTGGCTACCACAAGGAGGCACAGCCTTGGCAAAGAGGGAGGCCAGCAAAGGTCACCCTTCCCTGTTGTGGGTTTCATGGGCTCTGGGGGGTTGGTCCACAGTCCGGGTGGGGTGGGCTCTGAGCCAGCTCTGTACCTCTCTTTCTTACTCAACCCTTAAGGGTTATCCTCATGTGGGGAATCCTGAAGCTAGCCACTGGTAGGATGGTCCTCCAAGGGCTGCAACCCGCCCTGCAAATCAGCCAAGGCGAGGTGTGTCTACCACCGTGGCCCACGTGCCTCAGGAAGGAGTACAGGTGAAGCTACCTGTCAGAGGCGGCAGGGGACTGAGCAGGTGTTTCTGAGAGGAGGAAGCTCTATCGGGAGCAAAGGGGCCTTCCTGCCCAGGGGCACCAGCTAGAGCACTGGGCCCACCTCTTCCTGCCCCAGCCCTGGAGAAGCTGTGACAGCAATACCTTCAGAGCCAGCAGGCTGCTGGCTGCCTCCACACCTGAGCTCCTCCCCCTCACCCAGACCCCCAAAAGCAAACCACTGCAGGTCAAGAACTGCCTAGAGCTGCCACCGGCAGGTGTTCCACTTCCGGCCACAGGAGTGGAGGTCCCTCTATCAGGTGCGAGGTGTGTCCCACGCCCTCTTCATCCTGCCATTCTTTTCCCATCTCCCTTCCTGGCCTTCCCTGCTGCAGACTCTCAGTCTTTGCCACCCTGCCCGGGAAGCATGCCAATCACTCTCTAAGGAAGCCGGCACTTCGAGGGCTCGACTTCAGGGTGAAGCTTCACCCCTCAACTCAGAGGATAAATTCACGGCTTGTTACTTCTCTAGCATGTGGATGCACACAGAATTTCCACAGGCGACTTTCACTCCCCGAGAATGCGCAGTTGGGAAGCGTTATGCTCCAGGCCCACCTCCCAGTCGTCTCCCAGGCTCCAGCTCAACTCCTCGGCTAGGCACCCAGGCTGTCTGTCACAGCACACCCCAAAGGCCAGCTCCAGAGTCTCAGCGATGGTTCCTGCTTTGCTGAACCCACCGGGGCAGGCTTCAAAGACCGGGACGAGGCTTCCAAGTCCCAAACCCACTTTCCCACTCCCTCTTCTAGCAAAACACTGGAGCGGTTCACTCTAAGTTGTACTTGCTGAGGCTCCAGAAGAAGAAACCACAGCCACAAAATAAGGACTCACAAAAGGTAATTTAGCTAACCAAGGCCTGCTAAGATGGCTGCCAGAGCTTAAGGGCAGGGTGTGGCTCGGAGTTAAGGCTGGAGTGGAGCACTCCCCCAGCCTCAGGCTGGATTCGGAAGCACCACAGCTGCTACAGACTTCTGTGCAGTAAACCAAGAACCTCCCGAGGTGTCACACAGGGGCTCCCCCACTCTCCTTCAACTGCCCATTTCTGTTAGAAGGTTAAAAGCCAGAGAAACCCTAAATCAGGTTGCAAGGTCCAGAACAACCCCTGGCAGACAGACTATTACCGTCCATCTTGTCCTATGGCAAGCTGTGCACCCTGTGCCCTGGCCAGCCCAGCCAGTGAGTCTACTCAGGTGCATCCTGTCACTTATGACTAGTAGTCACGTGTCCACCAAGTCATCGAAATATCATGAATCAAATCTGGGGGCCGAAGAAATGTCTCAGGGGTTGAAAACACTTGCTGCTCTTCCGAGAACCCAAGTCCAGTGCTGGCAGCCATGTCACGCATCTCACAGCCACCGCCAAAGAGTCCAACACTGTTCCAGGCACCTGCACACGCCACACACAGACACAGATCTTAAAATGAATAAATAAAAGAGCCGAAGTTCTGAAGCAGAGGTGATGGCTCAGTGGATGATATGCCCTTAAGAGTTCCGATACCCAGAACCATGTGAAAGCTGCCAGCTTTGGCAGCTGCCCATCCAGCCAGTCCTCAGAGGGCATGGACGGGGGTGCCCAGGAAAGCCGGCTCGCTGGACCAGCCAGTAGAGCTCTGAGTGCAGCAAGAGACCCTGCCTCAAAAAATAAAGGGAGAGCAACCAAAGAAGATGCTTATGCTCAACTATAGGGCCCCGTACAGCATGCGGGTACCCCCCAAGAACATGCAAACATATACACACATTAAAAAACTCAATTTCCACTGCAGTATCTTCTAACTTCAGAACTGTTGTCCCCTAAGTTTTGTGTTAATCGATTAACTGGTCCTACAGTGTGAACCTGAATGCCAAGCTCAGTATCTGATTTAATCTTCAATCTAAAGAAAAAACTGGAGAGGGGCTGATGTGGACTCTGTTGCCTGCTTTTGGATCACTTTTCCCTAGCTGGGCTGCCATGTCTGACCTCAGTGGAAGAGGACCCGCTTGGTCCTGCTATGACTTGTGGGTTGGTATGGGTGCGGGGGTGGGGTTAAGGGCTCCCCTTTTCTGAGGAGAAGAGGAAGGGGTAAAGAGGAAAGAGGGTAGGGAGTGAGGTGGGGAGGAAATGAGGGAGGGGTCTTTACATCTGTGATTGGGATGCAAAGTGAATAAATAAATAATTTCTTTTAAAAAAAAGTATCCAGCCAGATTCGGTGGTGGTGCACAACTGTAATCTGGGGGAAGCAGAGGCAGGTGGATGTCTGTGGGTTTGAGGCCAGCCCGGTCTACAAAGCGAGTCCAGGACAGCCAAGGCTACCCTGTCTCAAAAACAAAAAACAAAACAAAATACAAACCAAAAAACAAAACAATGCAAGAGAGAACAGACTTCTGTCTGTGTTTGTGGTTTCCCTGAGATAGCGTCTTCCTGTGTTACCATCTTGGCCTCAAACTTGTGAACACGTGGCTCTTCTGCCTCAGCCTCTCAGGAAGCTGGGGATGGGCAGAGATGCAGTCTCTACTCCTCCACTCCGGCATCTAGCCCCCAGGCACATGTGTCGGTGTCCCCAGCCCTTGTCACAATTCTCCTGCCAGGATGCAGCCAAGATTGCCCGCAGCTAACAGCCCGGCGTGACCCCAGCACTCCCTAACGGTGTCTTCCTGTGTGTGGGCTACTGTGGCTACAGATGCCCAAATCTGTTTTCTCTCAAGCTGCCAGGGCACAGCCAGTTCTCCCTCAGATCCAGAGTCACCTGAGAAAGCAAGCTCACCCAAGCTCCCTATGGAGCTACCTAGAGGAGGGAAATTCCTTAGACTCACACAAGGTGTGTGTGTGTGTGGGGGGGGGGGGTTCGTGTCAATTTTCCACTCATTACCGCTCCTACCCCAGGACCAGGGTCTCCGGGTGTGGCCTGAACCAGCCTCACAGGACATACACCCTGTGGGGCTCTAAGCTCCCTGTGTATCCTGAGCCAGGACGGTGAAACCTCTCCAGCACCAACAGGCCTGGTGGACCCTTTCTCAGAATAGGTTTGCTCTGTTTTGTTTTAAGTTAAAATAGTCTTGGTTTTCTACGGTGTGAAACAGGATGCACTGAGGAGAAAGCAGGCTTTGAATTTGTGTCTTTTCTTGGGCCGACAGATAAGGTTGGGCTTTCTCCTCTTGTGACACCGGGTGGCAACAGCAGGGAGCTATACGCACCAACCCCAAGAAAGGGAGAGGAGCTCCGCTCACCCTTCATCATTGCTCAGCTGGGTGAGTGTGCGCTGCGCGTTACAGTTGCTGCCTTTTACGGCATTTCTCACAATAATCTCGTCAAGGAGTCGCCCCATCCGAAGGCAAAGCGCCGTCTCTCTGTGTGCTGGAAAGTAGGACCGAAGCCCAGTTCTCCGAACCCTCCCAAGCTGGCGGTGCAGTGGCAGGTATGGGCTTTCCTAACGACAGCAGCAGAGCACGTAGCTCTGGGCTGATGCTAAGTGGGTAGCAGCAAGAACCCGGGTAGTATTTAGCAGCCGGGGGCACACACGGTGTCATGTGACACCTGTACCCAGTGAACGCAGCTACAGTTGCTCTGGGTGGCAGCTCCAGCCGGGGAGACCTACCTTCTCCACGAAGGGAGGCTGCGCCCTCAGGTAACAGGTGGGAGTGCAGGCCGGATTATTTTCCCCGCCTTGGGTCTCAGAGCTCCTGGACTCTGACCACGAACTCCTTCCCCTCTGCACTGCGCCCTCAGGAAGGGGAGGCATCCTCCGCCCTGGCATTTCCGAGGGCAAGGAGGGTGAGCTCCTTTCAGGGTCCTTGGTCCTTTTAACTTTATTCTTGGAAGGGGAGTTAAAGTGAAGCGCCAGGTGGTTCCTTCTTCCTCAGCATGGCTGAGGGGACTACCTCACACAAAACAGAGCCCAGCCAGGGGGCAGGGTTATGGGGTATCACAGAAGGGTCTGGGCCTCTAGCCCCCGGCCCACATCCCCACTCACATCCCACTACAGCCAATGTAACAAGCAAAAAGCTAAGATGTCTCACCTTCAGGCTCCTCCACGCTGCTGGCCGCAGTGGTCGGTGGTGCTACAGGAATTTCTTCATGAAGTTCAGAGAAGAGGAAAGAGAAGAATGAGGAAAAAAAGAGAAAAAAAGGAAAAAAGACATTACTTTTGTCCTTGGAAAGAAAGGGGTCTCAGCACAGACTCTGCCCAGCCACCTAGCCTTCTGCCCCATGCCTACTCCACACTCAGCTTAAAGAACAAATCAGGAGAAAGGGGAAGCTGGAAGCAGGGTCTCAGGGACCCCAGGTAGGCCTGTGTGTCCTCCTCCTTCACTGGGGTAGAGACACCATGAGTTCCATCTGCTGAGGAGGGTCAGGAGAGGGGGCAGCTGGGGGGACTGCTGGCCCACAGTGGTGATGTAGCCAGGGCCTGACATGACATCAACTTGATTCCACCCAGGGGTTCCTCAGACTCTCTGTTCATCATATGACCACCCAGGCCTCGTTCCTACACCGTTAACTCACAAGAAGGAAGAAGGATCTAGAAGCAGAAATGGTGTGTGAGGGGCCGGGGACCTGCCCTCAGGGAAGATGTCCTGCAGCCTGGCTCTCCTTCCCCCAGGCTCCCTTCAAGTCACCTAAGGCCTTTTGTTAGCTGGTAGAATGGGATGTGACTGAAGGTGGCCAGGACCCATTAAGGCTGTTCTCGTCTGCCTAGAATAACCACTCATCCCTTCCACTTCCTGGATCCAAAGAAGCTCGGCCAGTCAACTCCACTGGTTCAGCCACCAGCTGTCAAAAAGTTTGGGCTTCCTCTTTCTAGACAAGACCAAACCAGAAATCAAAAGTCCCTCTAGGGCAGCGGCTCTCAACCCTCGGGTCTCGACCCCCACAGGGATCACATATCAGATATCCTGTGGATCAGATATTTACATTATGAGCCATAATGGTAGCAAAATTACAGTTACGACGTAGCAACAAAATAATTTTATGGTTGGGGTCATCACAACATGAGGAACTGTCTTAAAGGGTCGCTGTAGCCACCCTCTGACTCGGTGGTGAGGCTCTCCTCTGACCTTGGATTCTAGACACCTCGAACCTGAGGCTTGACCCTCATGAGATCTGTGTCTCTTAGAGGAACCATGCTTGTGCCTTTACGAGGCAAAGGCAGAGGACACAGCCCACAGTGGAGGGCATCTCTGAGGTGCCAGTCACAGCAGCTCATTAGGAAGCTGGACCTAGGGCCGGGCCCTTTCTGAGCCCTAAAAGGCTAGGTTGGCACCAACAAAAAGTCCTGGGAAGCAACAACTGAATGTCCTGGTCTAATATTGCAGGTCTAAAGTGGGGATTCACTAATGGCCACAGGACACGCCGGCCACCAAACCTTAGCGTCTAAAGCAGGAATGCACACACGGCACATGGCTCCCGGAGCTGGGACGAAGCAGAGCACGAGCTAGATACTGGCCACGTGAGCACCAGGGACACCCCAGAATGGAGCCCGGGTCGACTGTCAGGTGGGAATTTTTGTACTGGGCCGTCAGCCCTCCCTTTTCAAAAGCAAGTCAGAAAGTACAGAGTGCGTGGGAGGGCGCAGGCACTGGTTTCAAAATGTCGTTTCACGATGTCCCTTACCCTGGGGGATTTTGAAATGTTAGTTCTTGCCACTCTGAGCAACCTGAGAGCCCCTCTCCATCTTAAAAAAAAAGGAGGGGGGAGTAGGCAGTGGCAGGACCTGTTCTCAGAGGCGCCAGCCTTCCTGGGTTTCTAATTGTTCATCTCATAGCTTTTGGGGTGCACAGAGAGAAGGGCTCTATGTGCTCTGAGATTGGTGTTTGCATGCCACCACGGGAAGGCTTTCTTTGCATCCTTCCAATGCTGGGGATGAACCCCAGGCCTGGGGTGTACTGAGCATGCTCCTTCCACCTGCTGTACCCCGGGAGGACACCAGGACCCGGTCCCTCAGAGTAGCGCCGGGGCATCTGCTGACGGCGGACCCGCAGGACAGACACCCCGGCAGAGGCTCTGGCCTCGTAAGCTGGTCAGAATCGCTGTCGGAACCAACAGATCTGACCTGTTCTGGAAGCAAAGGCCGCACACAGTAGGGCAGACGAGCATGCGTAGTGGGGCAGGTGAGATGAGGACTGCCTAAGGGGCCCCCTGCTTGAGGCAGGGATGACTGAATTCCATGAGGAACGCTCTAGGACTCCGTAGTGGCTCCTGGCATGAGGGACTCCAGGCCCTGGTCTGGCCCCAGGACTCTGGGGCTTTTCTGAGTCCCATCACTGTTCAGCCCCTGGAGCCACTCAAGGACTCTGAGAACCTCAGAGAGTGAGACGGACTGACTTCTGGGGGCCGAGCAGTAAACGCCTCAGCTCTGTGGACTGTGGTCTCTGCCGCAGCTACGGCACTGCACAAAAGCAGCTGCACTATGCTGTTTCCTTTCCTTTTTTTTAGGGATACAGGGTCTCGCTGTGTAGCCCAGGCTAGTCTCAAACCTTCACTCTTCTTGCCTCTGCCTCCCAAGTGCTGGGATTACAAGCTCACACCACCATGCCTGGTGACTTCACTTGCTTTTTTGTCGTGTCTTGAAATAGTATCCTTCCTTTGATTTTTGTTGAAGTCATTAAAAAGGTACAAGGCACTGTGCCACACAAAAGGCAGCCGTCAGCCAGCTCCCCGGGTGGAGCTCGCCAAGCCTGCTCTCTAGAGAATCCACTTGGTTCCCTGGACTCTAGCTTGTTTGCTGAGACTTTCCTGCTCCTCTGCCCTGGCTGTCCCCTGTTGGCTTGGACAGCCCTGGTGGAGGAATCACCAGAATGAGGCTGGGCCTCTCCAGGTTAGGCCTGACTTGCCAGCCAGAGCTCATTTTCTGCCCCTAGGCACAGCAGCACGACCTACCAGACACAAAATGCAGAGATCCTCCAAAGCCAAGGCCAGAGTGACCGACACTCTCTCTATGTGACGCCTCTTTGATAACCCCACGCCAGTTACCTATTAACCCTTCATAGGGACCACAGGGGCCGAGTAACTTCTCTCAAAGGCCCAAGGCTTTTGGTCTGCTCTCTTGTGAATCTGCAGCTGTGGCAAGCCCCGCTGCCCACTGGGTCAGGGGTCAAAGTGCAATGTAGGAGTGGGGTTCCTGCTGGAGAGGAATCCTGCTGCCCCGCCTAGAGTGTCTGTCAGGGCTGAGGGCCACGGACAGGCTGGCTCTAACGCACGTAGCTGCTCCTAAAGTCTCCAGGCCTGGAGTCTCACGGAGCACCAGTGAATGAAGAGATGCCCACTGGACGGCAGTGTGGGTCCCCGCCCCCACGCAGACGGGGGGAGGAGGGGCTGCACGTACTGATGCAGGGGGCGATGGGCGAGCGGCTCTGCTGGTAGCCTTTGGCACAGCGGTTGCAGGTGATGCCCGTCACACCGTCCTTGCAGGGGCACTGGCCCGTGGTCTGGTTGCAGGTCTTGCCGGCAGCACCCACGGGGTGGCAATCGCAGGCTGTGAAGACACAAAGCAGAAGGGTCAGAGAGGCAGTTAGTGCCCTTGCCTGCCCAGGGGTGTCCCGTGGACCCCGCCCCAGAGAAAGAAAATGAGAGAGAACGGGCAGGCCTATCCACGCCGGGGAGCCCCTCCAAAGCCCAGGAGAAGGGCTGATGCTCAAATATGATGTCAAAGGGGGTGGAAATGGGGTGGCACTCAAGGGCAGAGGTACTGGCTTCTCTCCCAGATGTCTCTGTGGGTTTCTGGGTGGAGTAGGGTCTGGACCTGATGAAGCTCAGGGGTGCTGGTCAGAGAAAGGCACAACAAGGAGGTGCCCAGGGTGCTACCCCGACTTGCTCAGCAGCCAGATGCCCAGAACCCTGGGGATTCTAGATCACAATAACCCTTTACCTTAAAACCTCCAACTAGATGGGCAACCGGTGGACTGGTATACCTCCGAGGGGCCTCCCAGGAAGGAAACAGTCAGGCTGGCAGTGAAGCAAGGCCAGTGATTCTCAGGCCAGAGGCCACCGCATGACCCTTATGACCCTCCTGTGTTTGCAGAACGAGTGCCGGGTGGGCAGCCCCGCATGCGACCCCTTCTCAAAGCTCCCTCCCTATGCCCCAGCCATGGCACAGCTGGAACACTGGGGGAGATCTCTGCCACCACTATGAGGCAGGCCAGGGCTGCCGAGGCACCCTGCTAGGTTCCGTGCCTGAGCAGCAGCCTCACAAGTGAAGGAATGGGGTGAAGGAGGCGGTGCTGTGCCTCTTCCTGCTGCGGAAGGCCCAGGAGGACAGGGTTCCCTAGTAATACATTCTGTGGCCATTTCAAGCCATGCCACGTGCTGCTGTTTCTGTCTCCAAAGGGGACAGAAAATATCTAGGAAAATAAGTGAGAACTGAGATTGCAAAGGAACTACAGTATAAATTCTCTCTTCGTTACAGTCGGCCACAAAGAGGCAGCCTCTCCCCTCGGCCCCCAGCCCGGAGGTGGCAGTGAGGCACAGTGCGGAGATGAGGGAGGAGTGTGTGCATTAGTACCTCAGCACTCCAAAAGGAGAACAAGGTGAGCATGTTTGTCCCAGTGAATGTCAGCTCGGGCAAAAACAACTTCTGGAAGTGCTGGGATGAGGAAGGGCCTGGGCCTGACAGGACAGAGGACAGGACAGAGGACAGGCGGGTCAGCAGGCTGCCGAGAAGCCCTGAGAATGTTCCCATCTTGCCCCTTCCTTAGAGCCGGGACTCTGAAATGTCCCTCACAGACCTCCCATGTATGAGCATGTGTTGCATGGTCTGTGGTGCGATGCTGACGGCTATGAATGGTGGAAGTAGGTCACTGGGGTGGGCCTTATATGGCCTCGTCTGACCCCCAGCTCCACTTCCTGGCTCAGTCCACGTAAACAAGCCGCCTCCAGCTCAAACGCATCACGCACAGGCACGGCCACCCTTGCCGTGGTGGACAAAAGCCCTCCAAGAGCGTGAGCCAAGCTCAGCCCTTGGCCTGCTTTTATCACACCATGAAAAAAGTAACTAACATACCACTGCGGGTGAGGAAATGTCTCCGCTGAGACACTGTCCTCATCAGTGGACCCTAAATTCAAGTCCACACCCTTTTTAAGTCAGTAATAGAAAACGATCTGGTCCTGGGGGCCTGTGGGGGGACGGCAGTGAGGAAGGGATGGCCGGAAAGCCCTTTGACTTTTTCCTGTGGTGGGAAAAGTGAGTGATACAGGCACAGGCACAGCTCTCAAGTGGTGATGGGAAAGCACAGGGCCACAGCACAGAACCTCACGGTCACAGATGTGGGCTTGGACAGAGGTATACGGGGACGCCAGCTTCTTTTGCCAGCTGACCTCTCTTGGTCTACTCTGCAAGCCCACTGGCAATCCTTAAATTCATACACAACCATCCTCCTTGGGTACTAATGGAATACAGCTGCTGTGTGTGGAAGTAACCTGTGGATCCTCACAAGGTTGCTAAAGGTTCCTTGGTCACTGAAGATTCTGAGCCAGACCACGCCTCGGCACCAGCACTGGCCCAGAGTCTTGGCAGGAGCTGGCCCAGCACAAGTCCAGGCAGAGGAGCGTGAAAGGATGCATTCCGCCCTGCAAAGCTGGAGACCTCAGCCTCCTTGGCTGGGGCACCGCTGGGAAGGGCAGGGAGCAGATGAAGTCCTCTGCAGCGCAGGAGGGCCATTCTTAGCATGTACTCCATTTGGTCAGCTCATCCTCGGGGCTCAGCCTTAGCGCAGAGGTAAGCTAAGGCTTGCTGCGGGGTTCGAAAACCTCTCTCCCAAGATTCTGTGGGAGGCAAACCCACCCATCTGGCCCACCTGAGGCAGCAGCAGGTAGCACGCCTCCATACCAGCAAGTCATTATGTGTCCAGAAGCCACTAACTGATCACATCCAGGCCAGTGTGAGCATCACCAGGCTGCACCCTGCAACCAGCAGGGCACCTGCCAGCAGAGGTATACACCAAGACCCCTACAGACCGCATCAGTGGACCTAGTTCCTCTTACACATCCCCGGTGAAAAAGCGCGGCTGTCGGAAGACTAGGGAACAGGCCAGTGAGGAGTCAACGGAAACGAGATGCGGAAAGACTCTGGAGCCCCGGGGACGGAGAATACCCCGACTCCTCACCCCCTCGGGACACCCCTCTTGCAGTCCTAGTCCTTGTGGCTAGGCCCTCTACAGCGGTGTGATGGCTATTAACTTGACTACATCTGGTACCAGCTAAAACCCAAATGCTGGCTGCACCTGTAAGAGATCTTCTTAATTCTTAATTAAATCACTTAAAGTGGTAAAGACACACGTGTAACCCACATCTTTGAGGCGAGAAGATCCACCTTTAATCTGGATCACAGCTGCTGGCAGCCTATCTACAGGACATGGAAGAAGGATGCCAGTGCTCTCTCTCTCTCTGCCCGCTTGCCCTCACTCTCACTTGCAAGTCCAGCCCTTCACTGGCATTAGAGCCTACTTTCTTCAGGAGTCTGATGTTTACTGAAGACAAGCAGAGACACCCTGCCTCATGGACTGAACAGTAACTGGATTCTTGAACCTTCCCTTGGTAGACCATACGGCTATTGTTTGTACTAGCTGGACCACAACCTTTACGCCATGCTAACAAAGCCCATAGAGATATATACTGAAGTGGGGAATGAGGCAAGGGGAGGTGGCCTTTTACTTTGTAGGGACTCCAACAAGGGGATGACCAGAGATCTTCCCTGATTCTTCTGAGAACAAGGCCCAGGCTGGACCAGCCGCGGTCACAGGAAGCCGTCCGGGTGACTCCCACTTCCCTGGAAGCCAGCCATGGTTTTCGGAGGGAAGTCAGCCCCTCCATACAGGTTGCCGGTCTGTACGGGGCACGCAGCACCTGCTCATGGGAAACAGGCCACCACATGTTTTTCCATGAAGAGAGAATGTGGGGCCAGAAGGAAGTGAGGGTCCCTGAGAACATGGCGGGGTCGGGTTTCCCACGAATGTGCTGGGCTGGAGAGAGCTCGGGCTGTGTTTTTCCTGGATCACCAGACAGGGACCGCTCAAGAAAACCCAAGTGCTTCCAGACCGATGACAGAGGGCCCAGGCCTGGCCTGGCCCTGCCACTGACTCTGAATTAGTACCTCCTTCTCTGTGGACTGCAGGTGTCTTCTCTGTAAGGACAGCAGTCTAGACTCCACTAAAGGTTTTGTCTCCATGGATCCAGAGTGTAGACTTTAACCTCATGGCTGCCGTTTATCACGGGGTGCTGTGTGAGGGCTGGGGGAGGGGCTTGTGTTGCAGGGTGCCCTGCCTAAACCCACTTGTGCCGTGCCTAGACCTTACCAATGGAGGGGACATCTAAGAACTCTGGTATGGTGGGGCTTGAGACAGCTGGTGTTGACACTGGCTTTGCACACCCAAACATGGCCCTTACCTTCTACTGGGTGACATAAGCAAGGCCAGGCCCCTCCATCAGCTCATGGGCCAGCTGGAAGTCTTCTGGTGCTCCTATGGGGAATCTGGCTACTTTTTTCTAAGTACCCTGGCTCTGGGGGCTGAGATCAAATGGGGCCCTCAAGAGGCAGCAATCTGGAACGCAGGCTCGTGGGAGGGAGGGGTGCTGGCTGAGCATGGTCCCTTTGTAATTGGGGGACAGAGCACGCACAGCTTCAATCCAGACACCATCTGGCTGCCCCCGAGGCCTCCAGGAGCCCTGCACACTTACAACTTTGGCCTCATGTTAAGGACCGAGTCACATGCCAGGCCCCGGGATGCACACCCTGCCATCCTAATCCCAAGTGCCCACACATGAGACAAATACGGATTCTTTAAAGAGGGAGTTAAGGTAAAAATAGGTCACTGGAGTAGGTTCTAATCGAGGACAGGTGTCCTTGCACAAGACAGGGACGAGGCGCAAGGCGGCTACAGAGGAAAGGCCAGGTGAGCACACATGGCCATCTGTGAACCCAGGAAAAAGGCCTGAAGCAGACCTCTCCCTCCTGGCCCTCAGAAGGAATCTGCCCTGCTGGCACCTTGACCTTGGATGCCTCCAGAACAGGGGGAGATGGACTAGCCGTTGTCTAAGTCATTGGGTTCACAGGCCTTTGTTCCAGCAACCCAAGCTGACTGGGGTGCCCGTGCGACACCCCAGGCAAAGCCACCTCTTTCTCAGGGGCTCTCCCAGGCCAGTGTCAGGACATTAAGGGAGACTGCCCTGCCCTTCATCAGCTCGTGGGGTTTCTCGGGGCATAACTGTCCCAGTGAAGTCACTGGCCACTTTTGCGAAGGGAGAGAACCCCTCTCTGTGGTGGACCACATCTCTGGGCCATCTGAGACTCTAGCAAGCTGGCTGGGCACCAGCTGGCGCTTCCACAATCCCTACCTTTCCTCCCAGCTCAGTTCCTCAGGGACGCTGGCCAACACTTCCAAAAGGGTAGCCAGCAAAGGTCAAAGCAGGGAATGTAGTTGGAGGGTCAAGGCCCAGCAGAGGCCAGCTGAGGTCAGCAAGTAAAACCTGCAAGCAAGAGAT